CCAAGAAATTTTAACATATAACAAGCTAAGACAATTTACAAAATTTTCTTCACTCTTGTACTATATTACAGAATTCTAAAGGACTTTCAGAAAACTGTTTATTCTGTATTTCCCATCAATGACAGGGGTCAGACCTTTACCCACCTGTTCAGTACCACACTTAACTAAGACACTATCTTGAGGAATACAACTAACCAGTCAATTCTAGAAACCTGGGGCTCAAAGTGATCTAAAAGAAGTTATCCTTCATCACTGCTAAGAAACTTTCGATAAACATTTGTCTTTTTTTTTTGTCAATGATGTAAATCACTATTCAAAATCAATATTTACAACTTTTCTTGTTAAACAAGATAAATCTCCAGTAGTTGTTTTGCTTTTTACAGAATTAAGCAGTCTCTGAATATTAGCTGTTGGATAAAAATGATGCATGTGTACTGCTCTACATTTCATGAAAAGTAGAATATGCTAAACCAAGCTTAACAGTCTACATGCAGAAAAAGAGAAGGGGGGTGTTAAAAGTTAAAAAAGTTTTCATTCATTTAAACAAAATACGAAAACAGGTTGATCAAGAGAGAGTTCAAAGCCCTGAAAATTTCTCTACTTCCATGTGATGTTACAAATACCACTAAGCCCTGCCATTGCTCTATTGTAATTATTTTTTATATAAATGTCACATCACAAAAATAAACACCAACACCTCCCAAGAAAGTTTTAGCAGCAGGTTTTCAAACATTCTAGAAAGAAAAGGCATTCTGAAGAGCTCAGAAATCTAGCGAATAAGCTTTAGAACAGAAACTTTTATCAGAGGATGAAGGAAATGACCTGGTCCTCCCATACTGACACATGGCAATCGCAAGAAACAAGGGAAAGAAAACAGGGATAGATGAATGTTGCCCTGTGAACATGAAAACAAGTAGACTGAGCACAGCATGACAGCTTGGAAGGGTTGAAATAGATAACCTTAGCCAGAGAAGCAAGAAAGATATAGTTATAAGCACTTTCCTGCTCATGCTGATACTTGGGCAGCTTCTGCAGCTTGCACAGATGCTGAGGCAGCCAAGTGAATCCTTATTGCCAAGTATGATCCAAGTGCATTCTGTTGATTTATCTTTAATAACTTCATCCCACACAGCAAAACTTTCTATTCAAGTACCCAGCACTGTGATGGGGTTGACTGTGCTGTCTGACAGATGACAATGAATTCTATTTCCATTAGGTCATTCTCCAAATCGAGTTGCTTAAAATTGTCTTGCAGAGTCTGGGGCCCTCCCCAAAGCAATAGGATGTTTCTCTAGTCCATCCATCTGCAGAAATCATTTTTTTAAGAACCACTGTGCTGGAGTGTCTGTGTACCTTCCTGTAATTGGATTTAGCTGCACAGTGTTCTGACCATACCTCAGGCGAGTGGAAAGAGGGCTTAAAGCTTGAGGGTCTCCCAAGCAGCTTGTAACATATAAGCAAAGTCTTTTATCTTGTGTCTTCGGTGCAACTCAAGCCTAGGCTTAAGTGTGTGGATAAATGGAGCCTCAGACACTGTTTGCACCCTGGGAGCACAGATGGTACTGGCAGGTTCAGCAGAGTCTGGAAGGATTTGTACCTTCAGGGTATTTTCACTGTCCTCACTTATTGGCAACGAAGAGAATGAATGAATTATTCTTAACTAAGCAATTACAGTCCAACATCACATGTTAATCCATTTCCTTCTTTTTTTTTTTTCCTCCCAATTCTGAGTCTCCACACAGAAAGAGATGTCTTAGAAAGCAAGGTAGTGACAATAAGTCAAATTCAAATACGCTTATTCTCCTAAACTTTGTTTCTTGCAGTCACCCAGAAAGGTAGGATTACACACACATGTGCTCATGCCAAATGATTTAGCATCTCTTACTGAACTCTAGAAGTACAGATTACCATTTCTCTGTGTTATTTTATGCTTGTCACAGCCAAAAACTGATGACATGCACTATATGCCTGGGAAGCACTGGGAAGACTACTAGCCAAATCTGAGCAGTCAAGTGTTGCTATCAAAGGTATCAGACTTCACGAATTGCAGAAAAATAGCTGTTCCCAGACCTCAGTACTGGTCCAGGAAAAGCTTCCTGGAAGACTCTATCCTTAATTATACTACTATAAATCTAGAAAACACCCATTATTTGGCACAAAAACTGTAATAAGTTTTTATAGGTCAACTACTTTTAACTTGTGACTACATTTAACTTTTCTACGTATTGAAGTCAGTAGAAAAGGATATAGTGAAAAAGTATATTCTTATGACTCAGAACAGGCTTCAAAATGTTGCCATTCTGTTTAGGAAATTCTAAAACAAAAGTATCATAGTATCCAAGGATTGAAATAGATATGTGTTGATAGTAATAAAAAAAAAAATTGCACATCCATCACATATAGAAGAAAGAAAAATACAGAGGGTTTGTTTCCTCTAAAGTTCAAGGTTTCAGAGTTTTTCCATGGTGAGTTTGGACTTAACTATTTAAAACAATAACTGCTTTTGGACTTTTTTTTTTATCATGTAGAATAATTATGAAAATTGCATCCAGCATGTCCATGCTATTTTATGGGAGCTGACCACAAAGAAGGTTTATAAAGAATGCTGAATGCAAACTCTAATTCAGATGCCACCAAAGCTTTACATACAAAAGAGAAAATGTAAATGTTGTTAGTGTCAAAACCCCATCAGTGATTGCTACATAGGTGCCACAGAGGACTGCACTGCAGCACCAACAAATACCACATTATGATGTTCATTTCTGGCATCAGCAGCTCTTAGTAATGGTCACTGCTTCATTTTTTCTTTGAACTGTCCTCTGGAATAAAGTCATTATTTATCCTCTAAGGTCAATAAAGCAATCATTGGGAGGAAGCTTCTATTTTTCACATAATTTTTACTGCAAAGTTCCTTCCACTTTTCAGCAGCTCATAGTCACCAAAGGTGCCCACGACAATCTGTAAGTAAGTGGTCATAACGCCAAAATTCTCCTTTCCCCATCAACCTAAATTTCCAAGATGTTCTTTTAGCTTCCCAAACAGATTATGGGAACCAGTGCCAGTAAGCTAATCTAACTCTATATTGGTACTTCAGTGTTTTGTTGGCACTGCTGATGGATTGCCAGCAGTCTGAGAAGATTGTAAGGCACTGAGTTATTCTGTGCATCCCTTGAGGCAGTAGCAATTTTTACTTTCACGTGTAGAACATCAGAACTGTGTTTTGGAGCCTCTCTTGACTTTTCTGCAAGAATGCAAATACTGCACAGAAAAAGGTCAGAGTGTTGAACATCCACCATGTCCTGACTAGCAGATGGGAGAGAGAAGAAACACTAATCCAGATCCTGCAGTTGGTGGCACTTCACTGCATTCAAGACCCAGGGAGGCCCCTGAACCAACTTCAGCCACAGGTGTTTCAGTTCAGTGAGAAAAGTATAGGTCTGTGTTAATTTATTTTGGTAATGGTAATTCTACTTAGGACAATAACGGGGAAAAACAAAATCCATCAATTTGCGTTGTTGCATATCATTACTGGATTAAAGTTTAAATCTTGTCTCTTTTAAAGGCTTTATAGAACATCATCACCTTTTTATTACTTTACTTAAGTAGTAAAGTGCCTCAAGCAACATTTGTTATGCAGCTAAGAGGGGGGCAGTCCTGAGGGGAAGACCAAGGAGCTTTACTGATAAACAGCTTAACAACACTTCTTGATTGCCAAAGGGACTCTTAAAAATTCCATCTACAAACTTATAACACAACTTGTCTCACCATGCAGCAAGCAGCAGGTTTCACAGTTTTACTGCAGCCTGATGTAAACTTGCCTGTGCTGAGCTTAAGAAAAGGCTGCAAGTGTATTCTTGAACTGCTTTAGTACACATTAAACCAGGTGATTTTTAAACAAGATTATTTTACTGAAACCGAGAGGCAGCAAGTAGAACTGCAAAAGATTTGAGACTGTTCCATAGCCAGTGTAAGACCTGGGACTAGATCACCCTCACAGATGTGGAAGAGGAGGGTGTCTATCTCTTGTGCCCATCAGCAGAGAAGTGAAGTACAGGGAGAGAGGAAAGCAGTCATGGACTATTTTTGCTGGTGGCAACTTCACAGCCTGTTCAGAAATCAATTGCAATTTTAATAACACATTTTTCTGAATGCTCTGGACTATCTTCAGCAGAACCTTTGTGATAGCACTTCCTTAAAAGCCTAAACGTGTTTTGTGTCACTAAAGGCATCCCCAGTCCTGATAAGGCTCTTTGAAATTCTTTGGTCTGCTGCAGGGCAAATCTTGGCAATTTCAAAAGTTTCTCCCAGACACAGATTCAAAGCAAGCAAAGAAATCTCAATTGTCCATGCATATTTGACCAATCTGTCCTATTAAATACAGCAAGTAAAGTCTTAAGAGACAGGACAATGTTTCTCTGGTACCCTTCGTAGTTCTACAGACAAATGAATGCACTTAAAGCAAAGTGCACCTACCTGGTATTACCTATGTCTATTGCTTAAAAAGCATGAATACACCTGCTAGTGTGTACTAAACCATCAGTAAATCATCAATAGCTCCAAAATGAAAGCATTAACCTCTAAAAATAGATCTGTTTTTACTGATAAAGGTCCATTCAAAAAATCCTGACTCTACAGAATGTGCCTATTTTTCATCTCAAAAAACCAAATAGTGTTTTTCTACCCGAGTTTCAGCCAGATGGATGCAATTTTGATCTTAAAAATTAAGATTTTTTTTGATTCTTCTGTGAAAAGAATGGCTGAGAGCCTAACAAGTTCAATTAGGGTTTCTGATTCAATGCTTACTGAAGGCTTGGAGTAACTTCTGAACATTTAGGCTTTAAATTGCTAACACTCACTGTGCAAGTACAACTAAACTCGATCAAGTGCGTGAAGGAGAAAAAAGAATTTAAGAACTCCATTAGTTTTCAATCCAATAAATATTAGACTTATTAACTGATTTTTATTTTAATTGTTAGTTTAACATGCCTTAAAATACTTACTTTAGAATCACACAGCCTGTCCCTGTAGGAGGAGCCGTCCAAAACACCTGAATGCGTGTCCTCCTCCGAGGTGTGCTCTCAGTCACAGCAACAGGACAATTGCTCATGAACTGGGTTTCTTCTTCATCTATGATCTAGGGAAATTTCAAAAGAAGAATGTGAAAAGATAAGGACATACATAGCCAATGTGTCTTGAGCATGTTTTGTCAGTTCATGTTTTCTTCAAGTGGAATATTTATAATACTCTCTGCTTAGCTCAGCAGTACTTCACTAAATTTATTTATAACATGCAGATTGCTCCCTGAATTGAAAAAAAAAAAGCCTCACAAAATAAAGGCAGAACAATAATTCAGTTCAAAGTAAAGAAAATCCAGACCTTTCTGAGCATGGCTGCAAATAACTTTTCATGTTGATAAATATTAATAAATTAAAAATAATAAAATATTCATAATTTCAAGATTTTCTTTTTTAATCCTATGGCAATCAACTGGTTAGGACAGATTGATCATGGTAGAGAAGAAGGTGTTTCAGTTCATTTATTCTTTGCTTGTATTTTAAACTAACATTTATTTAAACAATACTATTCTTAAGGTATCAAAAGACTGTCCAGGTCAAAAGATGCAATATGTGGATCACAATCATTTGTAACTCAGAGTCCATTTTTTAGCCCAAACTGCCAACACTTTTGCTTTTTTGACTGATTGATGTTCAACAGAAAAGTTTAAGTGGTGTAAGTCAGAAACCAGAGAGGTTGATTTGGAACTGGTGTTCTAAGGATTTTACTCAAAGGTGTCACGACAAAATAGCTTTCTCAGTAAATATGTGCTTCATGAGTTGTACTTTAAGCTGTCTCAAAGAAGTTTCATCAGAAACTGCTAAGTTTTCTTTGGAAACAGGCAATGCTGTGATATTGCAAAATGTCTCTTCGAGCTTGCTCAGTGGTCCCCTTTCATTCGATGAAGCTGCAGTTCACAGTGCATTGGGTCAAGATTCAGGTAGTGAACCACCATTTTGAGAAAGAAGCTGTATTTATCAATTTATAACATGATTCAACTCTGAAGCTGCTTTTACAGAATTCTGGTTCTAATAACACACACTCACACACACTTCTACCGAATAACAATTTAAAAAAATTAAAATCTTCTGGCAGTAAGCATAAGTTTAAACTAGCATTTGGACAAAAAACCACTACTTTACATTCTAAAAAAGTGACACTATCTATAGTTGCACCAGATTTGCTTTAGTGAGCAGGCATGCTCTTTCTTACCCAATGATACTACCAGCAGACCCAAACATCTTTAGCTAAGCCAACAACCATTTCTATATTTCCATGGCAGAAAGAAGCAGCAGTGGTCCAGAGGAGTGCTGAGAAACTCTATTTAGCTGGTCAATAGGGCAGCAGTTAATGAGTTTTAAATTTTAAGCCATTAATATTCTTCAAGTTTTTTAACGCTTCGTAGAATCTGTGTAACCAAACACAACGTGCACATTTGCTGGAGTTTAATTAACATGAAGCTGTGGGAAGCATGGGATCTAGTGTAGGCTTAAATTGACTGCACAGTTTGTACTTCCACTGGATACAATGAAATGCATTTATAACTTGAGCATCAAGAAATCCCGAATCTACAATTCTCTCTCGGCCATCAACTGTATTTATTCTGTCTGCCTTATTCCTGCAACAGTAAAATAAAGAAATAAAACTGTCTACTTATCTCTCAGAAAGGTTGCCTCAACTATTTCAGGACTATATCAATTGACCTTTTATCCATATCTCAGAGTAATTCATTCTCATTCAAAACCCAATTTTGGCGGAATCTCTGAGAGAAGAATGGGTGATTTTATACCACCTCATACACAATAAAATACTACTACACATTTTACAAAAGTGTGATAATTCCCATTGAAAAGGTTCTTAGAAGGTCATCAGACAATTCTTAAAAGGAACAGTTTTTCTAGAAAAGCAGAAATATTGCAAATTACTGTACAAGTTACACTAGCTCCATATACTCTTATCAGATGAAAAATGCTGCTGTAGTATAACTCACATTCTCTCTAAAAAATTTTTAAAATATGTTCAATTCAGGCCAAGATTAGATAATTACAATTATGTATAAACACGATTGATCAGATACAAGCTATTCAACAATGACCAATGAAAATTTTCCAAACCTAGTTTAGCTCTGAATGTTTCTTGAGAAGCCCAACTGAAACGAACTCCTGCTCTCCTGAGTACAGAGTTGCTGCCTTCAGTTAGTGAGAACTTAGCTACTCTTATATCACTGAAGATCATTCATCCAGCAGTCATCATTGTAGACTCATCCATGATGCATTTGCATGTTAAGTAAATTCTTATCTCCAGGTGAACCAGTTCTGCTTTCCCCTCCGAACAATTAATGGAATCACAAGGAACACCAAAACCAAATCCAACAACTAATACTTAAGGAAGGAATTGCAAGGAGTAGTAACAACTGTGAGTAGTTATTACAAGTAAAATTTATGACTACTGCAAAAGCAGAACCTGAAATACTTGTTTGAATTCTAGATAGTCAGTATGTTGGAGCACATCCATGCCCCTTTCCAGCTGCAACAAATGAACATGGAAATGTAGACATATTTTGTACTTCTTTCTCTACCTAATTCCTGCCACTTAGCAAGTAAAGAATTTTCTCAAGGAATACAGATGCCTATAATGAAATAATTTAAAAGTTCTGGTTGCATTTTAGAACACAATCCTGGGAGAACAGGAAATGGCTGAGCCTCAAGGCTACATCACGATTTCCTGCATCACTAACCATCAAAGCAGAAGACTTATGCAATAAGTGTCTACTGGAAAAACCTGACCATAAAATAATGTCTTCCATAAAGTGTTCCTTTGAAGGAAAATTAAACTGAAGCTTTCTTAATAAAGACTCGTAGTGTTGACAGAATACAGTACAACTCCTAAATTAGTTGGAAAGGTTCAAACATCAGTTGATTTGAGATTATTAAAGTTATTTTATGATACAGTAGAAAACTGAGAATTGTCCAGATTCTAGGATTTCATATAAATATAAAACTATCTCAAATGCATTTGCTAAAAAGATGATTTTTGTGTTTTTTCCATATCCATGGAGGTTCAATTCTTTACAAAAATTCTTAGGAGCAATAAGAAAGGGTTCCTGATTGATACAGCAGGATTAACAAGCAACATGACATTTTAGGGTGGTGGATGCTATTATTCCACTCACATGCAACATAGGAGAAAAGCAATAGTATCCTGGCCAACTGTAGGGGGAAAAAGAGATACATAATACAATCCTGATTTTTCTTTTGGAATCAAGTCAGACCACAGGCGTGAAGGAAAGAATTGGCAGGGGAAAGGCACACAGATTAAAGTGTAGCATTTGCAAAATTATAGCTTTTAAAACCCAGGTTATCTGTAAAGGGAAGCCTTACATTTTCAGGAATGGGCAAGCAAATTAACCACATGTTGGACATAAATCCTAGAAACAAAAAATAAACACTTGGCCAAAGAATGTGAGGCCTCAGAGGGTGGGATCTCTACGTTACTCACTCTTTCAAATGCACAAATGCAATGACATTAGGTTTTAACATTCTATCTAGTTTTTCTTGTGGAGGGCTTTTTTGCCCATTATGATTGTAGTACTATTGGACCAATTCAGTCCTTCAGGGAAACCAGTGTAAATCCTGAGTAAGATCGCTGGAGTTAACCAGGAGCTGAACGAATATTACAGTGAGTAAAATATGGCTGAACTTGGGTAAATCTGCAAACACAAAAGTAAGGATACTACAAGGGAAAATTTACCAGCTCCAGGCTCAGTCTTGCATTCTTTACATATTCCAAACATCGATGAGGTTGAGGATAAGTTTTGGGTGTTCCTGAAAAGCAGGACTGGATAACTGCTTAGTTGTTAAACAGAGGAACAAGTGGTTTTCTCAGAATTGGAACATTTCATGCTGAGTGAAAGAGCTTGCAATCTGTTTCTGATTTCTATAAACTGTTAGTCAAATAAACTGGGCAGTTAACCTCTGTAACACTGAATTTATATCAGTATTCAAAAAAAAAATAAAAATTCAAAATACTATATACATCACAAAGAAAGGGATTAGTATCAAGTACAAAAGGAGATGAAGTTACATAAATCCTCTACTGGCTTGTGTCCACTTCCTTAGTTAAAACAACTGACTAGGATCTTCAGCACCATTTCTTGTTCTGTGGACACATCATCACTTTCCACCCACTGAAACAGCTGCATTCTACTGGAACAACTGAATTTTAAAAAAATAAAGAAAGAACACGACCCAAAGTTCACAAGATAAGCGACTTTGTCAGTTTTCTTCTTTGGAAGAGCTAACATAAAGTGTGACTTCCAGAACGTTACAAAACTGTCTTCTCCTTGAGGAAACTTTCCAATTACAAAAAGAACATTGGGTCTACATAACAGGAATAATATTTGGCCTTTAGGGATTAATCTAGAACAGAGCTTATTATATGGAACATAAAATTAATGATGTACAAGGTCAGTTTAAAAAACTTACCTCAAAGATACGCTTCACATAACCATATTCTGTGACTAAAGGACACATTATTTCCTTCAGAGTCTGTGCTCAGAATGAGAAGAATCAGAAGTGGGACTTTGCTAGCATACACTTTAAGATTATCAGTACATTCTGGTATCTTCTAGAACAAACTTTATGTAGATGTCCCACAATGTTGCAATGAAAAAATCAAATTTAGTTCTGCAATCATTACCTGAGAACAGACTTTATCAAGTAAAGATGAGATGCACTAGATGATATTTCTGTGAAAGCAGCATCAGCACCATTTCTATGCTTCTCAATCTACCTATCAATGTACTGTTTGTTTTTCCTCCCAGTCACAAGGTAGTAGGAAGCATGGGGGAAGAGAGAGGGGAGAAAAAAGGACCCTTCCAGTTCCACAAAGTATGATGCTAGGCACTAAGATCAATCCTTTGAAGTACATTAGGGAAAGAAGAGGAAAAAACAAAGGATTTATAAATCATCTTCCAAGAAATAAAATAAAAAAAAAACCAAACCAAAACAAACCCCCAAACCCACAACAAAACATAAAAACAAACACCAAACCAAATGTTTGTGTGTGAGATGTTCTAAA